TATTATGTCTGGTCAAGTAACTAACTCAGTACAGAAAAAAATAGTAGTTAATTATTTTGGTAAGAGTATGTAAATCTTAGGGAAATCTACATGTCTCTAGGGGAAGTAAATTACAGTACTGTTCAAATTGTTTATAGTCAGTAATAATCATTCCTGTTTTATAGGGAATAATTCTGAGAAATTTAAATTGTACAAATTGAAATTTGTAAATAGATTTAGCAGTATAAGGATTCGATACAAGGGAACAGTATTCAAACACTGATCTCACAATAGTTATATCAAGAATGATCAAGACATTTGTGTTGAGATCAGAAGAGTTGCTGTCATTAGCTTAGTCAATTCAGCACTCAATGCATCCAAACCCATTACTCTTATTCAAGTTCATTCTTAAATACATTTACTCTTATTTCCATGTGATACATTGATACTCCTCCATCACCCTTTACACATATTATATAACTAACCTAATTGAGGGCCGATGGGGTACTTGATTCGCCATCGAACCTTATCTCACATCACACATTGATACCAATAAATACATTCACTCTCAACACAAGCTAAGTATAAACAACTATTATTATTATATACAATAGAACAAACCCATTTCCTCCTAGAATCAGAACAGGGGTTCTAAATACTCACTGCAGTGCACAATCATAATTCTCAAATTGGGTGGCATTCCTACATGCTCTCTTTATGGAGCCGGGAATTGTACCCTTCAATTAGGTGGGACACATTGAGCAACATTTCTCTGCATAAGGGGCACCTGCATGGGCTTTGGCCCTTAGCAGGTTACTCTCCTGGCCAACGTGTTCGTGAACCCAGACAAACATCATTTTTCTGAGGTGTTCCAGCTCAGCATATTTTTCCAACAAGTGCATGACGAGGGGTTCCAGTGAGAACCTGTCTCGGATAGCTCAGACAGCGCTTAGGGTGTTGGTACGTACAAGAAAGGCTGAGCCCTCCTTGGTTCATATCACCTCGAGAACATGCCAAATCACATACGCCATGTATACACTACAATGAGGGGGCAACAACCGAGGGGCATGTTGCGAGTTGGGGAATGGAGGTATTCTACTAGTTCAACATGATCTCGTGAACCAATCGGGTCAAAAAATGTTCACAATATGTAGAAATACATTGTAGGTCACTCCCTAGTGACACATGTCACACCATCACTGTTCTTGGACCGGTCTGTAAAAACTAGACGAAAACAGGCTTATCTATTTCTATGGTCAAGGAACTTGCCTTGTAGAGGTGGAGTACATGATTTAGGCAAGTTCGCCAAATCGTTGTGGATGAGTATGGCTGGAAGGGCCCAGCCAAAGCACCACCTGCAATGCCAGTTCAGCCCTCCCTAAGCTCACCGAAGCGAATCCCAAGGGAACGTATCCACAAGCGAAGCCTGTCATAGACAACTCTGTACGGGCACTTGGCCAAGGACCCAGATGCAAAACTGAGACTAGCAAACTGTGACCTTGATAGTAGAGCATATCGAGCTTTAACAGGCATATTTTCTATGCCGAGGAATACATACATACAAGATCCTCTAACAAATTTCAACAGTGAAAAGGTTTAGGTTTTCCTGCTTTGGTCCTCGATGGCGTCAATGTGTGCCATCTCAACTTCTCATCAAACAGGAGACCAAGGAACCATAGTGTCTCCATGAACTGCACATATGTGCCCCCAGGCAGAGGGAGGGTGCTATGAGCCCTCCTCAATCTGCAAAAGTGGACACACTGTTTTCGATGTGGAGAAAGTAAACTTGGTTTCCTCTGCTCTCACAGCCACAACCTTTATCATTAACAAAAATGTTAAACAGAAAAGGGCCTATGTGAGATCCTGGGGGACTCCAGAGGTTGCGAGAAAAGTAAAAGAATGATAAGAATTTAATTTAATGTATTGTTCTCTATTGATGAGATAGGAAAAGAATCAACTTAAATGAATGCCATGGAAACCTAATTTGGCTATAAGGCGTGTGGTGTTCACCTTTGTCAAATGCCTCGGAAAAGTCAGTGTATATGTGTAGTGTGAAGAAGGCTGATGGCGGAAATTTGAGTACCTTAATCAACTTTCAATTATATTAGTTATGTAATAGGTGTAAAGAGTAAAGGGGAATCACTCCACCACCATGAGTGAATATATTTAAGAATGAATGAGAGTGTGAATGGGCTTGGATTTAGGAGCTGCATACGTTGGGTGCTGAATTTGAGCTAGCTGTTGACAACACCTACGTTGGTGCTTGGTTGGAGGAGACAGCGACCTACCGGTAATTTATTGAGCTGGAATTTCTGGTGGACTGCAAGAAGTGATAGGGTCAATTCTGCATATCTATATATACATATGTACATGTGCAGATTTGAGTTTATCCAAATCCAATTAATTATTAATTTGTATATAATTTTTCTCCAATTTATGGCTAGCTTTTCATCATAAAAAAATACCTAAATATTTTAAACTATTGCAAAAATGTACACATAGTGTTTATATATGTGTGTGTGTGTGTGTTTCTAAACTACCTCATTCTTGCTCGCTCCTCACAATTTCAGAAAATTATGAAACAACAGGTCACTAAGAAACACACAGTGTAATAATGTTATATTAATATGTGGTATTATATAATACATAAACTAATTAAGATAATTTAATAATCCATATATGTGTAGCACTCATAATTGACCATAATAATTATTTCAATTGATTATACTTTTTATCTAAGGTCTTGGTTGAGATGAGAAAGTTAGCGTCACGAGCAGGATGCCAACCCACAACCTTTGGTTTTATTAGATTAAAACTTCAAAAGGTTGTACGTTGAGATGGGGTGTTAGTGTCCGAGTGGGACAAGACTTCAAGTGGTTAGAGCAGCCAAAGGTGCATTGTAGATATTTTTGTCATTGATAAATTACAATAGAGTATGAATGTAAGAGAAAAAACAAAATGTGTATCTCTTGTATAGGCATATATGTAATGCTTAAATACAATAAAATACTCTACACTCTAAACTCATTCTGGATAGACAAAACACAATGAGAATAGGCAGACCAGGATGATCTGTAATGATCAGGTTCATCATTAAGGGATAATGTACATACTCAGCAGACCAAAGGAGGAAATCTCACTATTCATATAACATTATTATTATAAGACTGTTGGTTTTATTTGATGTGCATACGCGGTGTGATTTATGTACAAATACAAGTCAGTGAGGATAGGCAAACTAGAATGTGCAGAGTCGATCAAGATATATTTTTACTGTTCAGTTTTAAGCACTTATTAAACAAAAGAATTTTAAACAATTTTCAAAATAACACATGGACAAGATAGTAAAGATACTGAAACTTTACATTTCAGTACTGGAATGTATTTGAAGTAGAACAAACAGTATAATCAGACTACTTTGAGTTTAATTTATCAGCAGAACAAAAACCATTATGGAACCTCTTAAAATTTGACAAACTTATTAAGGGACTTATTTATCAGAAAACCATACAGACCAATGAACATGACAATAATGCTGGCATATATGTGACAAAGAGACTCAACAGAATATACAAAATTCAGCTGCTTAGAACCAATTTTAATTAAAATTGTTTAGTTTCAATTGAAAAAATATTGTGTCAATATATAATTTAATTTGGGCTTTCACCTCAAAGGGTTGTCACTCCCCTATGTGCTGACCTTAGTGTCTACATCAGAGTTCACCCACCCTGTTAGGTGACTGGGTCGCAAGTATTCCCCTTAAGCTGAATGCCCAGCAGATCATCCCTTCCCTACCTATCGACAGCTAGGTCATTTCAACTCCAAACACACGCAAACTTTAAACCAGCCTAACACTACGTAAATTAGAAAAATCAGTCGCACAAATAAATACATCCATATATTCATTCCTTTATGCATTGCACTCATTCTGATTAGTAGGTAGAGTACTCAATATCCCTCACACACAGACAGACACAGTAATAATAATCTAATCAGAATTAGGATCAATGATTACTTTTATAAATATTCCACCATCAACCCTAAGCACACACACTGTTGGAGGAGCGAAATTGCAGCTCCATTTCACCATCACCCTGCACCACTCACACTAATAAATCCTTGGATTCAAACAAAACACATAGAATATAACTATACATTAAAATACCCCCATGTCCTCTAAAAAATGGAACAGGGGACCCAGAAACTGACTGCTGTGCTCAAGAACCACTCTTATTCTGGTTGCAAGCCTACACACTCTCTGTGTAGAGCCAAGGCATGACACACCTCTATTATGTGGGACATATCAAGCAACCTTTCTCTGCATAAGGGGCACCTGTATGGCCTTTGGCTCAAGAGCAGATGCCCATGTGTCAACCACGTATAGCCAATCCTCGGTGTAATTTAATTAAACAAATACTGAAATTTATTTGTTTAAATTCTATTTACATTGTAACTGTCATTACAAGAATTTTATTTTTATTTATTTATTTTAAAGGTAAAAATAGGGCTTAAAGCCTCTTACAAATTTAGTTTTATAATCGTAAGTTAATAATAATAGCAATAATAATAAAAACAATTAAAAAACAATAATGACAATTTATTTGAGTTGATGCAAGAAGTTGGTGGTCTTCGAGTCAGTGAACTCATGCTGAACTGACATTGGATTACTTATTGGGTCTGTCTTTACTCATGGGTTTGTTGAACAACTACATGAACTATCCTTTTTTTAAGTTAGTTACTGTGAGTAGGAACTATCTTTTTTAAAAAAGGTTTGAACACCGCACTCACTCCATCATTCATCATTTCTACTACATGAACTATGTAAAAAACAGTTTCTCACTGAAGATGGTGCAATGTCGAAACACTTTTGAGTGGTTCAACAAACCCATGAGTGAAGATGGATATATGGAAGTGACCCAATGGCGGTTCAGCATGAATAATACATTCTTTAAAATATTAGTTATTTGTAATTGAATGATGAAATCTAAAATGAAATGATCCAGAAAGAAAAGCAGAAAGAGAAAGAAGATAAAAGGAAATGAGGTAAAGAAAAGGAAGAGGGAAAAGTATTCATGTCATTTTTAAAAACAGATGCTTTGGATCTGAAACAAATGAGGAAGCTGAATGTACTTCCCTTGGAAGCATATTCCATACTCTTATCCCGGCAATTCTGAACGATACAACTAAAGTTTTGGAGGAGTGTTGAAGGGATGGTATATGATTGGTGCATTTGGGTAAGAAAAGTGGGAAAACGTTAGATATCGAGGACATTTATTTGATTAAATTTTATATCTCTAATTTCAGATATCTTGATCTAACACAGGAATAAGCAATTTGAAGGTGATGAGCTGATTGAGAATCTAAGGAAAATTTAAAAAATATCACTATAGTAAGAGAATAAAAGAATGAATAGCATAGCGCACACCCACAAAGATTTTACAGGAGAAGCTGATGGAAGTTTCCTTTTTTTTTTTGTACTTATGTATTAAGTACAAGCAATTACAGATGTTGACAATAAAAACTGTCATGATTCTTCAATATTGTCTTTCATTTACCCAAGACTTAAGCAAAAACCCAAAACTTTAAAAATCCAGCTGAACTACCCCTAAAAACTACCCATTTTTGAGTTGTGACACTTTTCTTCCATAAATTGGCTCTCAGTAATTTAAGTAAATTAAATTAACGATAATGATGGTCAATTAATGACTGTAATCATATTAATTTTTTGTGATAGTAATAGAACACATACAAAATTAAGAAATGAGCGTAAATAGCCATGTAGTATGTATTACTAAGATTATTTTTGACCCAAATGTGCTTTCTTCCTGGAGTCAGGGATAATTAGTTATTTAAAATACAAAATTAATTATTGAAAAAAAATTTCATTGATTTTTAAACAAAGAATAATTATAATAAACATTCAATAAATCGTTGAAACTATAAAATAATGTAAAAGTTAAAAAAACAACGTTGTTAAAAAAAAAAATATGAAAAAACAATATTATAATTAAGAATGTTATTAAAATAAAAGAAATGAAACTATAATAATTCACGATCACTCTGGATCAAGGTATGATTTTACAGAAAAAAGCAAATTCAGTTCTTATTGCCAAGCTTTCGAACTATTTTAAGATCATCATCAGATCCTATATTAATTTCACATTACGAAAAACATATTTGTACAATTGAATTAACAATTGTTTTTCATAAAATGAAATTAATATAGCCCCTGATGATGACCTTAAAATAAGTCGAAAGCCTGGCAGTAAAAACTTAATTTGCAGTTTTATTCAAGACCATACCATCCTGAATGTTTGTGTGTGAAAAAGTGTCAATACTCTAACGTGTGGTATTTAGTGGCAGTTAATTAATGATCATTTAGAGATTGTGGGATGCGGTCTGGTGTGATGTAGGTTTAGAAAAACATTTTTTTTATCGTGCCCTAAAGCCTACATCATACCAGACTGCATCTCATGCCTAAAATAATTCTATAATTAGTACTACTTTGCTCTTACAAGAAAGAGAAAAATGCGTCATATAAACTAGGAATGCTGCTGCTAGATTCGATTAAGGACAGGCAATCTTCTTAGAAATTATAAATGATGGGGTGAGTGTGGAGTTCAATCCTTTTAAAAAAAAGATGGTTCCTACTCACATTAAGTTGTTTCGCAACAATCCGGATTTCGAGCCCTTTAGCTCATCGTCAGTTTGAACGGTTTCTACAAACACGTCTCTCGACATGAATTGCAGACGTTCAGTGGGTTCACTTCTGCAATTCATGTGTTTGTAGAAACCCTTCAACGTGACAGTAGCTAAAGGGCTCGAAATCCGGATTGTTGCGAAACAACTTAATGTGAGTAGTAACAATCTTTTTTAAAAATGATTGCAATCTTCTTTGTTCACATAAAATATAATTGGGGTGATTCAGTAATGACAATGTTTTGATTTTCTGTAACATTTTTGACCTTCAAATTTGGAGCTGAGCCTTCAAGCTTCCCAGATTTGTTAGTGAAATCTGAATAACCAGAACTATCAGCATTACAGGTAAAACTTTTTATCAATGTACAACGAGCAGAGCCAATATCCATACCATTTTGCCCAAAGAGTTGGAATTTGAAAACTGACAGGCTGATTGAGCCCCCGGTGTTCCAGTGTTCTTCCATCGAAGGAACTCATTTTTGAAGGGGGTTGAGATCAAATTCAGGGTCACTGAGATCCGATTCCGCCCCAGACCTTCCATTGATGAGTGTCGTATCAATTTCATTCAATTGCGGCCACCGGTCCCCTTAGACGTCAGAAAAAAGTCCAGAGGTGACGATAGGGATCGAACCTACGACTGCGGAATTTCCTAGCCGAGAGCCAGACTTATCATTACGGCAGTTTCTTTCTTGTTGATTGTCAACAAATTTAGAATCTGTTTGTCGACATGATGTGAAAGTCATTTTTCCAAATATTTAAAATATATCTAAATATATATTGTATATAATTTGAAAATAAACTCTAAATCATGAATGTATCAATGCTCCAAGTTGCGATTATGCAGGAATAGTTTATTAAAAAGATTGGTTAGTTATTATAACATCTGTGCCACTTTTCCTATTAAATATTCACACCGATGTTATAAAGCGTAGCTAAGAGTCCACCTACAGTTGTGTCATTTTTCCTGTAGCATTTATATCCGAATACTTCAAAAAAACTAAATAAACCGGATTTTAGCATTTTTCGACTTATGTCACGTTTCTTGTGTGTATGTGTGTGTGATATGTACGAATAAATTAGTTAATATTTAATAATTAATATTGAAATATATTGTATTTTACTTGTACGTACAAGTTCGTTATCAGCAGTTTGCCCATCACAGATGATCCTCTCCTATCTTCTTGGCACATTTCATGATGAAAAAGGACTTCACATTTTTGAAACGAACTTTAATACCTGCAGAAAACGTCTCACTGAATGTTCGCGCCTTTTACGCCCGATGATTTTTGGTGACGTTTTTCGCCCTTAAAATCTTATTTGCTGCCCCTCAGCCCCGCCCCCTTTTTTTATCCCCTTTGTTCTAATCAGTTTAGTAATTAGTTCCCGGTTTGATCCCGAGTGCTTCCCACCTGCATGTACCCGTTTTGCTTCCAACGCATTTGCTTCCAACTTATATTTCGTTTTGAAATAGCTTCCGCCCTTTAACTACTAGTTTTCCTTGCTTCCAATTTCTATATCGTTATTTGCATACTTTTACCTCCGCGAATAGCTCGCCAAATAATATTTGCGAAAAAGTGAGGAGTGAGTGCCGCGTCAAGATGGCCGTTCAACTCTCATCACGTTCGGACGGATGTAGGACGCCCTCAAGGTAGGCAAATCAAGTCGTTATTTATAGATTAAAAAAATATAATTTTGGTTATAATAATTTCATTGTTGGTTAACATCAAAATAAAAATGTACTACATCGCGGAATATTCTAATTTGGTATGATTTAAAAAGATAAATAACAAAATACTCCTTTTTTTGCATTTTTTAACTTCTGTAAGCAAATTAGGCCAGAAAGTGGTTCACACTTGGATTTGACGTCATTATCGTGATTCTAGCGTTATAAAACAGTTAGGTACCGACTTTCGCAGGTGTAAATTAATTTTTTTGACTCACGATTTTGACTTCTGCGTGACTGATATTCCTAGGGCTTCTTTTCGAAAAGTTGGACTTTACTCACAGTCTGTTGTTTCCAATGATCCGGATTTCAAGCTTAAAGATTATCTTCAGGTTGAAGGAGTTAGAACCGCATCCATCGGCAAGAATTGGAGTGAAACCGTTACACGCCGATTCCCGCCAACGCGACGTTCCAATGAGGAGCTGGTTTTTATTGCCGCTCAATTTTGAACGTGCGTAAAGCGGGAATGGATATTGATTAATTTGTTTGGCTTTTTATTAATTAATTAATTAAAATAAAACTAATAAATCAATAATATATTAATCAATAAATGATAAAATTAAATAATAAAAATTAATCCAATCATAATTGACCATATTAATTATTTCAATTAATTTTTTTAATCTAAGGTGATTGAAATGAAAAAGTAAGTTAGTTTCGTTTTGCAGTTCGACACCATCTTCGAACAAATGATGTTTGGGCTTAGTACTTTGATGACTATGCTCTTATTTTTGTACGTATTGTTGAAGTTGAATTAAGTACATCTCCCGATCCTGAGGTAAACCTCAGTTTGAAAGATACTGGTGTATTTTCCCATGAGTTCCGAATATTTGGTTCCAGGACCGAAAGGTCCTACCCGTGTACCTTCATGTGTTATAGATCGTCTGTGTACCAATAGATAGTGCCGTTTTTAAAGGAGGTGTTTTTTTCTCTTTCCCATTCTTTTTTGGTACCTAGGTTTATTTGGAAGTTTTCATTAAATTCAAATAGCCTGTTGATGTCGTCTCTTAGAGCCATGAGTGTTGGATGGTCTTTCATTATGTGCTTGCTATCTCTCCATTTTAGTTTTATTTCTGTTGGAGATTTCTCTTTAATAATACTGATGATAGTTTTCTCTTCTCCAGTTTTCTGTTCTCATTACCATTTGGTGTATCCCAATATTTTTTCATACCAACTGTGAGACAGTTCTCATCGCTCCTGTTAGTACAGATGCATGCTATTCTCTGTATTTTTGTGAGTTATTTTCGTTTTGTTCTTCTTTATTGACTCAGGTAAGGGCTCCTTATGTAAGAAAAGTTCTTACCATCATGGTGTTCATCCAAAGCACTTGGGTTACCACTTGAGCTATCGTAATCCTTGAAGTGAGATTACTCTTTTTTTAATCGAACAAATTTTCAGAATTCAACAACACTCTAAATGAAACAAAACACAATGGTTTGGCACGCTGGAATGATAGAGGTTGATAAAGTAGAGTTTTCCCCCCAGGCCTGATTAAAATCATTTACTCCTATGTATATAATAGGAAATTCGAATCTCTCTCAACTCAACCTTCTCTTAAAGTTGTGATGCATCTGCTGGTGTACCACAAGGAGCAATAATAGGACCTGTTCTTTTTCTTATATGTTTCAATACAATGCCAAGACCTGACGAATGCAGATTGACCTATACGTTGGTGACATTGATATCTAAACTTCTTTTTGGAGAATTGATACAATAGCCAGCAGACTATTAACAAATGCCATGTTTGTTCAGGTTCTGTAACAAATGGAAGATTAAAATAAATCCACAAAACTGAGGCTAATACCTTAGTCTGCTACTGTTAAGTACTTTGGGGCATTACTTATATTAAGCTATCTTTTGCCGCCCATGTAAGGGATAGAATGAATAAAGGCAAAGCTGCAATTCGTGTCTTCTTTTTGTGTAGAGGCTTTAAACTGTCCTCA